ACTCAGTCCATGGCCACACCCAACTTTAAGAGAGGCCAGGAAATGTCATCAAGCTATGTGCCCAGGAAAAGGAAGAAACTGGTCTGGCAAGGAGTTAGTCTCTACCATAGTAATTAATAAGAATTCAGTTGAAAATAATTGACTTTTTCCAAACCCAGCTCAAGAAGAATTATTTAATGTACACTTAATTTGTCTTCAAATTAACTCAGATATAATAAAAATTAACATAAACTAAATACTAAAGTGTTATTTATTCCTGTTAGTGGTTTTTTTTTTCTCCTTAACATTCATAAAAATAATAAAACTAATGGCTTTTAAATAGTCCACCATAGACTAGAATTTTCACTACTGTGGATCATTATTCCAAAATCCACTACATATAGCATTAGGAGCAGCATAACCCCTGGTCTGTCCCAAGTTTTATTTTTCCATTCCTGCCCTGAGGTCACGAGAAATTAAAGGAACTGTGCTAAGGGACCCTCATACTCACTGCAGTTGTGCTGTCAGCTGTTCTTGGCCAACTGCCACCATCACAACCATCACCACCACTCTGTCACCTCCTAACAATGCCTAAGGGCCTTCCCCACATTGGCTGCTCCATTCTTCTCCTAATTCTTCATACCCCTGAGATTCCTTATTTTTAAGACAAACTCATCTCTTCCTATTTGCCATTTCTGTTCGATGACCATCTCTCCTCTTTTCACGAAGGTAGGGACCACATTTTCCATGTTGACAGCTCTATCTCCAGTGATATCTGGTAGATTAACAAATGAGGCTATTTGGGATCAGCCAAATAGGTACATCATGTACTTCACTTTTGTATCTCACTTTTCACCTCAAAACATCTGTCTCTATATATAGCATTTTCACATTCATAACTCCTGTCATGGAGATATGGAGATGATCTTTCTATGGCTTATCTTTTTTTTTTCCTTTCTTTTTCTTTTTTTTTTTCTTTTTGAGATGGAGTTTCGCTCTTGTCGCCCAGGCTGGAGTGCAATGGTACAATCTCGGCTCACTGTAACCTCCACCTCCCAGATTCAACCAATTCTTCTGTCTCAGCCTCCTGAGTAGCTGGGATTACAGGCACCCGCCACTATGCCCAGCTAATTTTTGGTATTTTTAGTAGAGACGGGGTTTCAGCATGTTGGCCAGGCTGGTCTCGAACTTCTGACCTCGGGTGACCTGCCTGCCTCAGCCTCCCAAAGTGCTGGCATTACAGGCATGAGCCACTGTGCCCGGCCTTATCTCTTTAACATCATGTCCCATCCTAATATCTTTGAGCCTTCCTCCCTCAATCATTTCCTCTTTCTCTTTATGCTCTCCTTTTCCACTGGTTTTTCTTTTTTTTTTCTCATCTAAAACAAGTCTATTTGAAAAGCAAAGTACTTTCACAATATACTGTCATTTCAGCATTTTTGCTTCTAGAACACGAAGGACATAAAGTGCACAAGTATCAAAAAAAGTGTCTGGCTCAGAAAGCACATCAGTAGGTCTTTCATTTCACAGATCAGAAAACTGAAGCTCAGAGATTACAACTATATCCCCATAATCAAAAAGCAGTAAATTATATATAGCCAAGTCTCTCTACCAAATCACAAGACTCGCCTAAGAAAAACTAAATGATACATTCATTGTTTAGTTTCTCAAACAAAAGTTGATGCACATAGTACAGCCACTTCTTTTAAAAACAGCGTGGCAGTTCTTTTGAGAGTTAAACATACACCTAACATGCGATCCAACCATTTCACTCCTAGCTTAGCCAAAAGAAATGAAAGCACATGTCTGTATATTTCTGTAAAGACTTGTACAAAAATGCTCACAGTAGCTTTCTTGTTAACAGCCGAAACTTATGAAGTTCAATATAGTTCAATAAAGTTGTCTTTTTAAAAGTTTGTGCACATACTTGATATTTGATAGAATTTCTTTCTCAACTGGTTTCAATCAAGTAAAAAGCTCTTCACTTTTACTCAGTAGAAGATGTTATAAAAACTTAACACATCTCCTTCAGTAAATGTCTTTAGGTCATTGAAGGTCATCCCGGGTGGCCCGTTGGTGTTTCCTCCCAACATTCTGATAAAAACTTCGGCATGACTGGGAGACATCTGAAGAATCTCCGCCTTGGTGATCATGGAGTCTGAGAAGTCCAATATGCGGACACACTGGAGGACAAGGAAAGCCACTGTTGTATTTCAATCCAAGTTCCAAGGCCTGAGAACCAGGGATAATGGGTGGGCGGGGGTCGGGGGGAATTGGAGAAAGGTCTGGAATTCAAAGGTCCAAGAACCAAGAGCTCCAATGTTGGATGTCCCATGGGAGCAATACTATTTTTTCCTTGTCAGCCCTCAAAATATGAAGTTTTTGACCTATTTTTAAAACATTCATTTTATCCCTCTGCTTCTCAAGCTTTTAATTTCTTTTACACTAAAGTTACATTGCTGCCTCCAGTGACACATAACCCATGCACTCCATCTTCTGTGATCTGATAATTACCCTACTCTGCGCTCGTAAAGGTCATCAGTGACTCCTTGTTGCCAAATTCAATGATCTTTTCTCAGTTCTCATTTTCCTTGATCACTCTGCAAAATCTGAACTATTGCATGCTGTAGCAGAGACTGCAGGTTGACCACCAAATATCCCATTCTCCCTTTCTTCCTTAACAACACAATTCCAATTTTATTCAAGATGGTAATCTGTCCAACTGAAGGACAACATTCCCCAGTCTCTCTTGCAGTAGAGATGGTCTTACGAAATGTAAGGTGACATGCTTATATTCATTAGGTTAATGCCCACTGCTATAATGAATTCTAAATTCTCATCAGTATAACACAATAGGATATTTTTGCTCGCCTATGTTCAAAATGCATATTCCTGGTCACCAGTAAACATTCCACATGGTCACTCTGGGGTCCAGGATCCTTTAATATATTTCTCCATCATTTTCTAAGACCTCAGAGTCCTCCACATCCAGCTGGCAGATGGGGAAAGAGGATGAACAGCAGCATGCGGGAGAAAAGAACTCAGCTATGTGGTGATACATTACTGCAAGGGAGGCTGAAAAATGTAGCTTACGGGACTGCTCAAGAGCAGGAAATGGATTTTGTGAGAAACCAGCTGGTCTCTGCCAGATGGCTAAGGTCGTTCAACTAACGGATTCTAACCCGGCCAGATCTGCAGGCATGATTGGAACAGACCACAGTCACTGCTTCCTGACTGGGTGTATCCTAGGGCAGAAAACCTCACTTGATCAGTCCCTAAAGCCAAAGATCAGTGTTTCCTCTTCACTCTCCACCATAACAAGTGTATTATTCTTAACATCTTCTCTTCTTCTTATTGCTGTGTTAACCCACAAGTTAATTTTCACTTTTCCCTAACAAGAACTCTTCCCAATCACAGTCAGACTCATGAGCTTTTACAGCTATGAAAAGTGAAGTTTGAGAAGTAAATACTGAGATAAAGGAATTAATAAGTTGTCCATAAATTTGTAATTTAAAATTCCCCAAGATAAGCAAAATTACAAAATTGGACTGATGTTGGTTATTGTCCACAATAATGTTTTTTACCAAGTACAAAAAAAGTACAGATGAAGTTGATAAACATGCAGAGATCACAGATCTGTCTCACTGCCCAGATCAACAACTCTCTTGTTAGTTTAAATCACTCTGTAGAATCTAAATCAAAGTCCTCCCCAGCATTTGCTTACCATGTTTACAGCCTTAGATGAAGTTTGCTGTCTATTCTTGATCCATTGGTTAAAAGTGTCACACCTATAAATTATCCTTCATCCAGCTCAGATTTCTGTCTAGTATGAAGACAATTTAATCTGTATTTAAATTCAAGCTTATCATAGAAACATTTGGACCAGGTAATTTTCTCCTCCTCTCTCTCCAGTACAGTAATGATAATCATTCTTAAAGTTGGACATGTCCAACTCTTCCAATTGTTTATTCTCAAAGCTTTTTTGCTGTTTTAAAAAAGTGTGTTTTTAAAATAATTTATTTTTCATAAAAATTTGCACCAGCTGATGTCATAGAGAAAAACAATCAATTTCAAAAGTCAATTTCAATTGTTTACTCTATGTCTTCCTCCAGAGCCACATCCAGGTATATAAAATAATTTTGAGTCCCAGACTTGTATTTGCATACAATTTGTGTTTATTTAACCTGGGCTCTCTGCTTGGTGGTTGAACAGAAGAATACTTTTGCTTCTTAGATAAGATACCAAATTGTTTAAGACTCAAAAATAGTCTTTCAGGACATGGACAAACAGTAGAAGGTATTATTGTTGTTCATTCATTCAGTAAACATTTATTGAGAATCTATTGTGTGTCTAGCAGTGTGTGCTGGGACAGAGGGGCACAAAGTTGAATAAGGAATCACCTCTGCCCTTGAGAGACTCACACCCAACATGCGAACAAACACACAACATTATACAGCAAATGTCTGGGGCATTTGAAGGAATCCAAGGGACTGCGTAATGTAGGTTTGGAATGAGGGTGAGGAATTTCTGGGAAGAATCTGAAGAAGATTGCTGAGTGATCAGAGAGATGAAATAAAAATTCAAGACTCTGCTGAGAAAAGGTAAATCAAAAACAGTGATACTGTTTGGATATCTGTGTGCACCAAACGTCATGTTGGAATGTAATCCCCGATGTTGGAGGTGGGGCCTGGTGGGAGGTGAATGGATCATGGGGGCGGATCCCTCATGAATGGTTTAGCACCATCTGCTTGGTGTTGTCCTCAAGATAGTGAATAATTTCTCATGAAGTCTGGTTGTTTAAACATGTGTGACACCCTCCCCCTCTCTTGCTCCCACTCTTACCATGTGACATACCTGCTCCCCCTTCACCTTCCTCCATGAGTAAAAGCTCCCTGAGGCCTCCCCAGAAGCCAAGCAGATGTCGGCACCATACTTCCTGTATAGCCTGCAGAACTATGAGCCAATTAAACCTCTGTTATTTATAAATTACTCAGACTCAGGCATTTTTTTTTCTTTTTTTAAAATTGTTTAATGTTGTCTGTCACTGTGAAAGTTATTTCTTTATAGCAACATAAGAACAACCTAACACAAACAGTATGAGTAAAACACAAATTAGTATTGGAATGCTGTGGCCTAGGCAGTGGCTTCACTTCCCTGGCTCACCAAAAAGGTGTTCAGGGAGGGTCCTTTAAACCTCAGGTAGGTATAGTGGGCCTTAAGGGCCCACAGCCTCTGAGTCTCAGCTGAGATGCTCACCAGCACTGCCATCAGTACTGGACACTGTAATGTGCCACTCAGATCCCATTCAGGACTAAAAGGCTTATTCCCCACGCTGTGGCACAGTCCTCAGCCATCAGCCCCCTCCATGTATTGCCTTGGCTGAGAAAGCTGCAGCACCCCAGGCTCTATGCCCTTCCCCAGGGTAACATGTCCCCAGTCTCTGGCCCATTCAGGGATACAAAAGCCTAGTACCCTTACCTTCAACTCAGCACAACTTTGAGGGGCCTTGTCAGCTTCTGAGTTTCTAGTCAGGTTGGTTAAGGTCTTTCACTGGAACTATCACAACCCAATTTCTCAACTCTATCCTGTTTCTGTTCCTTCTTTTTCACAGGTGTTAATCTCAAAAGCACTTCCTAATAGGTATGCTACATATCCTATCCTCATCTCCATCTCAGAGTCTGCTTTTCTCAGGCAACCAAACCAGACACACCTGCCAACACCTTCTCTTGGAAGCTTATGCAAGCTGCTAGAAAAGCTCAGCAATGAATGAACCCTCACAACTTATAATCAGGTTACAAATGGATTATTCCACCACTTCTTTACTCTCAGGTCATCACCCAAAGACGTTTTCAAAAAATTCATGTTGATCTTTTGAAAGTATATTTTCTCAAATTCCTACACGTACAGAGATCCTGATCCTGATTTACACATGGACAGAAGTCCACACTGCTACACTACCACCCCACGTCATGGACAGAAGTCCATGTGTAAATCTCAATTTAGCAGCCAAAGATCAAAATGGAAATTCTTGCTAGACAAAAGGTTGGGGAAGCCTGAAAAGCAGGAATAAGAATCAAACAAAAACGAAGATTTTAGTAAACTACCTGCAAATAGCAAACAGATGTCAAAATATTTGGGCAGACCACCACAAGACATTGTATGACCACAGAAACACAGGGCACTGACATGTGGTCTGTCCCTGGTGGTAGTTCTACCTCTTGACTTCTGAGCAGATAGAGGAAGTTGCAGGGTCCCTCCTTTCTCTCTGACTCTCTGGTCTTCTCTGCAATTCTCTTTCTCCAAGGGAGAGGCTTGGGGAATCCAAAAGACCTGGATGCCATTTGAGACTCATCACATACCAGTTATGTGAACTTAAACAAGTTATTAACCTCTCTGAGTCTCACTTTCCTTATGCAAGAAAACTTCTGCAGTGCAGTCGGCAGGAATAAAAACATTAATGAACATCACTTACAGAGCCACGCAGAGCAGGCCACAGCACAGTGCTTAACATTCTCACCTTAGCTGCACACTGGGGAACTTCAAAAAAATACTGAAGCCTGGAGGGCACCCACAAAGAGTCTGATATCATCATTTTGGGGTGCTGAAGCATCAGAAAGGTTTAAAGTTCTCCAGGGGATTCCAAAGTGCAGCCAAGATTGATAACTGTTGTTCTATGCAGATTATTTTATTTAAACCAGATACTACTCTAAGAGTTCAGTCCAATTATCCCCCTTCACCCTCCTTCCCTCATTTCTACAGACAAGGGGATTGAGGTTTAGAAAGGTTAGAAGATTATGCAAGGGTACAGAGCTAGCAAGGGGCAAAGCTGAGATTTAAGTTCACACAGCATGACTCCCAGGACCTAACACATTATGGCCACACTGCTACACTACCACTCCATGTCCTGAATGTGAAGAAATGTCTAGCATGGTCTCTAGCATGCAGAACATGCTCCAAATTTGAGGGCTAAGTTTGTTTGTTGTTTTTTAGCATCCCTCCTCTCCATTTCTTGCTCTTCACAATCCCCAGCCCAAAATATCACTTGGAGTTCAGTAGAAGTGAGCAATGGATAAGATTTAGAAGCATAGTTAGAATGGATCTAGAAAAAAAAAATGTTCTTTTTTCCTTTTTTCGCCTTCCTAAATCCCCACCGTAAGCACACACTTGTTGTATCAGTTTGTTCTCATGCTGCTAATAAAGACATACCTGAGACTGGGTAACTTATAAAGGAAAGAGGTCTAATTGACTCACAGTTCCACATGACTGGGGAGGCCTCACAATAATGGCAGAAGGTGGATGAGGAGCAGTCACATCTTACATGGCGGCAGGCAAGAGAGAACTTGTGTAGGGGAACTTTATTAAAAACCCTTTATAAAACTATCAGTTGTTGTGAGACTTATTCACTATCACAGAACAGCACGGGAAAGACCTGCCCCAATGATTCAATAACATTTCACCAGTTCCCTCCCATGACCACGTGGGAATTATAGGAGCTACAATTCAAGATGAGATTTGGGTGGGGACAGAACCAAACCATATCACTTGTTTTACATTTAAAGTCTTTTAAAATAATTATTACAAATACAATATTGAAAATATCAGAATCTAAGGAGACATTTTTCTACCATCCCTTCTCAAGTGTAAGTAAATGCTTTCATTTGCCTATGTCAGCTTCTGAGCCTTGTCCATGAGCATCTATGATTTTTATGTTTACATTGCCATAATATAATTATATATTTAAAATAGTCATCCACATGATGTCATATATTTTCAGAAGATTTGTCCTATAACCCAATTAAGCAGCCTGGTACAGCTCTGTAGATAATGGAGGTAATTTTACCATTAACTTAGCCTAAGATATTTTCATTAAAGGTTTCCCTTTTAAGGAAAAAATGTACTTAACCTGGTTACTCTGAAAGCTAATATAAAAATGTATAAGCCTGTAGAGGTCACACAACATGATGTTTGTCTTTCCTTATCTGCTGTATGTCCCTCAGTGCCCACATGCTTCATCCCCCTCACCCCCATGCTTGGCACAGAGCAGGAGTTCAAAAAATATTTGACGCATGAACAAATGATACTTTTCTTGGTTGTACAGTGAAATTACAAAATAGGATTTCTCAGGAACTGGGGCAGAAGACTCCAAAGTTAGGCTTGAGAACAGGGTAGGATGGACAACAGCAAAGCAGGCAGGAAAGGCAACCGGAAACCCCATCATAAAGGCCAGCTACAGTGCCTGAGAGGAAATGTGTGGTTTCCTGAATTGCACTTGTTCAAAACCTTCAACCTTAAAGCATGACATATGTAAACCTTGTCAAGGACCCACAGCTGGCCCAACAGTCACACTTTGGGGTTGTTTTCTTTAAAAGTTATTTATAATCTTAGGGCTCCTAGGATAAATACAGAGTTGTAAGCCACTGTAACATGAAAATAAAGCTGCAAAGAATTGAAGTAGGTACGCTTCAGAAGAACAACCCATGCAATATTCCTAGAGGAAGGATTCTTACGCTAGTGTCCATTGGGTCTCCTCTGGGTACCATAGAGGGACTTTAGGAAATGGTGAACAGCCTCAGATTGATGTAAAGTGTATGTGTGTGTCTGTGTGTGTGTGCCTGTGTGTGTGTGCATGTGTGTGTGTCTGCCTATGGAGGAGACCACAGCTTTCATCAAATTCTCATGTCTTGTGGTTATAGGGCCTGCTCTTCCTTTCACTTCATTAAGTCAAGTGGGGCTCTTCTAAACCCATTCTTATGTGCTAGGGGCTAGAGATGAGAATGAGAGACAGCAGGTAGAAGACAGGGGAAGTAACTCTATAGAAGGCCTTCTATTGAGTCAGTATAAGTGAAAGACTTAGAGAGTGTCCAACCTGCATCAGGACCAAAAAAATTAGCTCTTATTATTATTATTACACCTTGCCAAAGCACTTCATGTTTTCTCAACCTCACAACAACCCCACAAGTTCAGCATAAGTCCCATATTCCATTAGGTAGAACAACTAACCCAGGGTCACATAGCGAGTGGTGGAGTTCAGAACTATCTAATTTCAAAGCTTAGATTCTTCTTCTCCACCCTGTGGCCTGAATTACTGGCCAGACTTTCAGTCTAGAGGCAGCCTCTCTTTCTACCCTTCAGGGTTTCACATCTAAAGCCCAAGGGTCTTGCTCTTTCCCTGAGTCTGTCCATCAGAACAGGCATGAGGCCTAAAACTGAGCCCCTTCAAGCCAAGGCATAATCTACTTGCTTACATAACAAAACCTTAGTCATCCCATTGAGATTCCACACTCAAAGCCAATTTCTCTCACAGGTCATTGAGTACTAGTTACAGATATAAAATCACGCTTATCACAATTAACTCCCTTGCCTTTATGATGCAGCCAAGTCAAAGCCCAAACAGGAATAAATTTTTTCTAGTAGTCACAAATCAGAGGCGTGAGAAAGCTCTATGCCAAATCCACCATTTTCTGATTTCAAAATCCATGCTAAAAACTGCAGTTAAACATTAGCTACCAAAACACCCTTCTATCAAATGAGAATCATGGTGATTGCATGTATTGAGCACTTTCTATGTGCTTGCTCTTTACGTGTTATTTCTATGCCTCAAAAGAGTCAGGCAGGTCAGATAGATGCTACTGATTGAGAGGATAAGCAAGTCCCATAGGGTCACACACACAGTGAGGAGCAGAACCTGAACTCGAATCCAGGCCTATCTGATGACAGTAACAGTGCTGCTAACCATGCCCTTCCCATCAACTCTCTACAGTCACTGTGATTCATGGTACCCAGGACCAACACTGGCCCTTGGCTTTCCCACAAACCACTTCCCTGAAATCTGGACAACTTCTTGGGAGGAGGAGCCATGGGAACATGACAGATGAACTCCAAAATAGAAGACCTGGTGAGAGGTCCAGCTCTGCTGCTTCTCTAGCTCTGTCACCACGGGCAGATCACTTAACTTTCCAAGGCCTCAGTTTCCTCGCCTACGCAATGGAGATGAGCGTGAATGCCCCACATTGCACTGATTTAGAAGAGAGGAGGAGCTAAGGCTTAGGGGCTTTCCAGACACGAGTTATCTTTACCCTTCCTTAACTCGCTAATTCAAGACAACTAGGTGGAAGCCCTTTCTCAGCCTCCCTTCTTCGCTCATCTTCAGAGTTCTTGGCCACCCCATTTCCACCAACAGCATCCTTCGCACTGCCCTCCTCCCAGGTAGGCTGCTGCTTAATTTCCCCTCCATTTCAGTACTTCTTCTCTTGCCTCGCTAGAAGGGCTGGTGTTGGGTGCTTGGAATTCTGGCTATTTTCCTCCTGCCCTTCCGACTCGGCACCAGTCTGTCTCCACTGAGAACGCAGCGCATCCGGGCTGAGCTCTTCACTAGCCTGCTCCGCGCTCCTCAATGCCAGCGCCAGGCGCTCACCCTGCAGATCGTCCCGCCTCTCAAAGAGGGGTGTGACCCGCGAGTTTAGATAGGAGGTTCCTGCTGTGGGGAACACCCCGCCGCCCTCAGAGCTTTATCTGTGGCGCAGCCTCTCTGTCCGACCCACGCGCGGAGCTGCCGGGGGCTCCTTAGCACCTGGGCGCCGGGATCCTCGCCCTTCCGCAGCCTTCACTCCAGCCCTCTGCTCCCGCACGCCATGAGGTCGCCCTTCTACCGCTGCCAGAACACCACCTCGGTGGAAAAGGGCAACTCGGCGATGATGGGCGCGGTGCTCTTCAGCACCGGCCTCTTGGGCAACCTGCTGGCCCTGGGGCTGCTGGCGCGCTCGGGGCTGGGGTGGTGCTCCCCGCGTTCACTGCGCCCGCCGCCCTCGGTCTTCTACGTGCTGGTGTGTGGCCTGACGGTCACCGACTTGCTGGGCAAGTGCCTCCTAAGCCCCGTGGTGCTGGCTGCCTACGCTCAGAACCGGAGTCTACGGGTGCTTGCGCCCGCATTGGACAACTCGCTGTGCCAAGCATTCGCCTTCTTCATGTCCTTCTTTGGGCTCTCCTCGACACTGCAACTCCTGGCCATGGCACTGGAGTGCTGGCTCTCCCTAGGGCACCCCTTCTTCTACCGACGGCACATCACCCTGCGCCGGGGCGCACTGGTGGCCCCGGTGGTGAGCGCCTTCTGCCTGGCTTTCTGTGCGCTACCTTTCATGGGCTTCGGGAAGTTAGTGCAGTACTGCCCCGGCACCTGGTGCTTTATCCAGATGGTCCACGAGGAGGGCTCGCTGTCGGTGCTGGGGTACTCTGTGCTCTACTCCAGCCTCATGGCGCTGCTGGTCTTCGCCACCGTGCTGTGCAACCTCGGCGCCATGCGCAACCTCTACGCGATGCACCGGCGGCTGCAGCAGCAGCGGCGCTCCTGCACCAGGGACCGTGCCGAGCCGCGTGCGGACGGGAGGGAAGCGTCCCCGCAGCCCCTGGAGGAGCTGGATCACCTTCTGCTGCTGGCACTGATGACCGTGCTCTTCACTATGTGTTCTCTGCCCGTAATTGTGAGTCCCCGGGCCCCGAGGCAGCAGGGCACTGGGACTGTCCGGCCGCGGATGCGGGGCGGGAAGGGTGGAGCGGAGTGGGATGGGCGCGGCGTCAGGCGAGCTGCGCCCTGGGCAAGGAAGGTTTGTTGCTGAGTTCCCAAAATTGGATTCCCTCCACAGCCCCGAGATATAACTCGGTTTGCGGAGCGAAATGAGGGAAAGCTAGAGAGAGGAAGGGAAAGACTGAGCCTGGCTGTGTCTCCTTAGCCCAGCAAAACCTTCTCCATGTGGCAGAACTCCCTCCTCTCTGCTTCCTTCTGGGGAGATTTCGGGGTAATTCTTGCACCTTGGGAGGAGCAGAACTTAGTTCCTCCTTGGCAATAGGAGTCCTCTACTTCTCGACGCCTGGGTAATGTTTTATTTTGTTAGACCTGCTCATGACTTCAGTGGTATCAGAAATGGGCGAATGGCATCTGGGAGGATCTTCTCCCCGGTGTTGGCACAGATAGGGAAAAAGAAGTTTAATCCAGCCAGAGTGATTTGCAGATGTATAGTTTCAATTTTGAAAAACGCGTGCGTAAACTTTGAGGCGCCACGGCTGCTGTTTCTGGTGCTGCATCCACCAGGGATTGTGGCGATGGAGGCCGAGGCTCTTTGTATGTTTTAGCTGCTGGTGTCGTTTTCATAACCCGGCTTGACGGGTTTTGAGTGTATCTTGGCAAGTGAGGTGACACGAAAGCCATTATCTCTGGTTTCAATTTAGTAATGAGGATAGCGATGGAGATGAAATTACCTCCTCGTTCTGAAGGCATTTGTTCCTGGAGTCCCCGCCAAGACACCTGGGAGTAGGTGAGACTTGAGGAAACTTTTTCAGTGTTGCTTCTCTCCTTTCTCCTACCCCCAAGGTACTTGTTCAACAAAAACAACACTAAAAGAAATTCCATTGCCAATCCCATGTTCTCGAAATCCTGAGACTTCTGTGAATAGGAAAGTTGTTAGATTTCTTCTCAGAGTGTAGCAATTTTGGATATTACTTTCAATGGTGAATGAAAGGGAAATACAAAGCGATTTTCCTTTAACTGAAGGCCTTACTGTGTGCGGGAAAAGAAGTCTGGGGCATGAGCATGCAGGGATGGGAACAGTATGCCTCCAGAATAAATAAACACATGAATCTATATCCGTCTAAATATAGACATAGGCACAGATGATATATAGCAGTGGTTTTCAAACTTTAACGTGCTCAAAATCACCAGCAGGGCTTCTAGAAAAAAGATGGCTGGACCCCATTCCCCGGAGTTTCTAATTCAGACATTTTTAAAGAACTTTCATTCTTAACAAGTTCCCAGGCGATATGCAAGCTCAGATTCAGGGTTCACATTTGTAGAATCACACTCTAAAACAGGAGTTGGCAAACCACAGCTCACAGGGCAAACCTATCCTGGCCACTGTTCTATATCTCCCTGGAGTTAAGAATAATTCTTACAAATGAATCTCTGCAATCAATTTGATAAGGCCCCAGAGCTTTGAGCTTCAATTGAGCCAAGTACTATTTCAAGAAAAATACTGTTCCAAGAAAACATTTTATTCTTCTCCTTAGTAGATACATATTACAAAAAAATTGTATTCAGCCAGACATGGTGGCTCACGCCTGTAATCCCAGCACTTTGGGAGGCCAAAGCAGGCAGATCATGAGATCAAGAGATTGAGACCATCCTGGCCAACATGGTGAAACCCTCTCTCTAAAAATGCAAAAATTTGCTGGGCGTGGTGGCAGGCGCCTGTAATCCCAGCTACTCGGGAGGCTGAGGCAGGAGAATTGCTTGAACCTGGGAGGCAGAGGTTGCAGTGAGCTGAGATTGCACCACTGCACTGCAGCCTGGGTGACAGAGCAAGACTCCGTCTAAAAAAAAAAAGAAATTGTACTCAATTATTAATACATTTTGATTTCCATCAAAAAAATGTGGAAATGTGTTTTCTCCCATCAAATATTTATGATTTTGTCTCTTGGCCCATAAAACCTAAAATAGTTACTATCAGGCCCTTTATAAAATCTTTTAGGAGCTCCTATTATAAAGTTGGGGCCTCACTTATTTATGCTGTGATAAAGCAGACAGTAGCCAAATGCATGGAAATTTTGACCTTAGTTTGAATGTTTTAGTCAGACCAATGCAGAAAGCAGCACCATACAGTGTAAAGAACACTGCATTTGGACATGTCTCTAAGGGGACTTGGATCACTCATAGGGTAATGTGAGAATTGAAGGAAATAATGGAGTTGAAAAAGATTTTCTAAAAAACTTGCAAAGTTCCAAATATATTTAATGTTGACAGCATTCTTCACAAGAACCACCATTTTCTAGAAAGGATAAGGGCTTTAGCATCAGACATGGGTTTGAATCAGGCTTCATCACTTACTAGCTATGGTAGCAGCTAATTTACCCTTTCTGACCTCAGTTTCCTCATCTGTAAAATGATTATAACCATACTTGTTCTGTAAGATAGTTCTGTAACTTGTTCAAATCTATAAGATTTGAAATTATATACACAATATATACATTCATCACCTAGCCCAGTGCCTTGCCTCAATAATTAGCATCATTATTATTACTATTTATAACTTCCATGTATTACTGTTGCCTGCTGGACAGAAAAAAAAAAATCAAGAACTACTATCTTCTCAGGAGATAGTGCTATATGCTAAGGCAGTGGCTCTGAAACTTTTTTTGGTCTAAGGACCCCTTTATACTCTTAAAATTATTAATGACCCAGACAGCTTTTGCTTATGTGGATTAAATCATCAGTGTTTCTCATAATAGAAAATAAAACTAAGAAATTCTAAAAATATGGTTGCAAAACAAGATAAAATGTACCTCTTGTGTTTTCCATATGTACAAGTAAAATGTGGGGATTTCAGAATGATTGAATGATAGTAAAGTTACAGAGATTATAGCAAGTAAAGTGGAAAAATCCTGTTAAGAGCACAAAAGTACTGAAAACATCTCTGAAAACTCACGTGTACCTTCAACCTACTACCTTAAAAAGTCTAGAAAACACAAGGATACACAACCACATATTCTATTATTTGTGAAAGTGACGTCATCATTTGTTATCTAGCCTTCATAAAATTCACCGTACACCTGTGAGAGAATGAAGGGGAAAAAGGCAAATCATGTTTTTAATGACAGTAGCTTTGACCTACTGGACACATTGAATAGGTATTGGAGATTTTACACTCTTCTAAGTAATGGACCTAGCAATTGTATCTTTATCTGAAAGGGGAGACATGGGTGACAATAAGCTATATGGTTGACTTAAAAAGAAAACATTTTACATGAGTTTGTTTTCCATTTGCCCCTTTCTCCTCAAAGTGGAATGTGGCAAAATATAATTCCACCTATTTGAGAATGCTTGATTAGTTGGGATCTAGACAACTAAATGATACTAGCAAAATTAAAACAAATTATTTTATTTTCTAGCCAGCATTTATCCACGTCAAATCCATTAGGTTATTTTGACTTTCAAGTCACTGGATTTGTATTCGAAATGTATTGTTCACTGGGGCGTGGTGGCTCACACTTGTAATCCCAGCACTTTGGGAGACCAAATCAGGAGGATTGTTTGAGCCCAGCCTGGGCAACACAGTGAGACCCTGCCTCAAAAAATAAAAATAAAAATAGTTAGCCAGGTGTGGTGACACGTGTCTGTAGTCCTAGCTACTTGGCTGAGGTGGGAGGATTGCTTGGGCCCAGAAGGTCAAGGCTGCATTGAGCCTTGATCGTGCCACTGCACTCCAGCCTGGGTGACAAAGTGAGACTCTGTCTAAAAAAATAATAATAATAATACACAGGCATTTTTTTAAAGTGCTCAACATCCAGAAAGAATTGGTGTGAGAAGAACGCCCTCTGATGGACATGGGAGGCATTGAAATAATGTTGCTGCCAGCTCCTGGACATCCCTGCCCAGCAGCCCTCTCTGGCTTCTGATGCCCTCTTCTATCCAGTCCACGGACTGTAACACAACAGACCTTGCCCTTTGCTCTTTAAATCTACCTCAGACCCTTTCTCTGGGCCCATCCCTTGCCTGTTATCCCTTACAGGCCTCCAACAGCCTCCTTTGAAACTAGCATCGCACCCATTCTTTCTGCTCCCTAAAATAGCATACACCTAAGAGCTGTCTCAAGCGCTCAGGGTGTCCTCTATCTCTTCTCTGACTTCATGGATTCTGACAAGTGATTAAATAGCTTGTACTTATCTTTACCTGGTTTATAGACCTCTCTCTTGTAACACCTAATATATACATGGACATCCTCTCTCATCCATCCCTGCTCCCCCACCAACCTCCAGAACATTGTGGTTTTCTAAGGTAAAAATAATTTGGGCGAAAACATGTTTTTTTGTTTTTTGAGAGAGTGTTTTGCTCTTGTCGCCCAGGCTGGAGTGCAATGGCACGATCTCGGCTCACTGCAACCTCGGCCTCCCGGGTTCAAGCAATTCTCCTGCCTCAGCCTCCCGAGTAGCTGGGATTACAGGCACCCACCACCATGCCTGGCTGATTTTTAGTAGGTGTTTCACCATGTTGGCCAGGCTGGTCTCAAACTCCTGACTTCAAATGATCCACCCGCCTCAGCATCCCAGAGTGCTGGGATTACAGGCATCAGCCACCGTGCCTGGCCTGAAAATATGTTACATGCCTTAGAGAATGCACTGCAAGCTGCCTTTGAAGCTCATGCCATATTCTCTACACTTACACTTTCTTCCTATTGTATCAAACTGGAAATTTGAAAATTCAATCGAGTTAAGTGTTCAGCATTAAAGTGAATTTTAAAAATCATACGCCAACAAACTTTGCATCAAGCTTAATGAAATACAATATTTATGTTATGGAGAAGTTGTTAAGATTCCCTCTGCCACCGCCCGACTTCAGATGGGCGAGGGCATCCAGATTAAACAGCTGAGTCCAATGTAGGGTGTCTTCCTAAGTGCAACAGATTGGAGTGGCTGAGCCCACTGAAATGCTCTATAGAGAAGAAAATATAACAGTAAGGAAATGATTATGGGAAAAATGCATCTTCTCCAGGAGATGCTCTCTGATTGCCTCGAATAGGTCCAGTCTCTTATCCATATCCCTTCTTACTAATGTTGAGTTTGCATACTTCCTGTTCCATTAGAGTCCATTTATCCTAATATGTATTTAGAATCGTAGGCATAGATAATGCAATGGAAAAAAACAAAAAAAACAAAAAGAAGTGGCCAGCCTTAGGCAGAGTGGAAAGCGATGGTTGTGCTAGGTCTAGAGATCAGTGGTGACTGAATAGGAGGAAAAGCTGCTGTTTGAGGCATTTTGCAAGGCTCCAGGGAGGCTACAGAGACCCCAGGGAAGATCAGACAATAGGAGTTAGTTGGACCTAGGAAGGGCAGTCTTATATTTTAGTGCATGCTTTTGCCTTCTAGATTGGAAAAAAAAAAAAAAAAGGATGTCACCCATGAAAAGGTTAACAATCTGTGCTAAGAAAAAGTAGAGCAATTTACATGAGTTGAACAGTATTTTTTTCCAAGTCATCTCAGGTCTTTTCATTGTCATATTTCCTGTTTCTTCACTTTGATTAAAAGCTTCCATTCTATTGGTGTCTGCATACATATGACATTTCACAGGTGTGACTTATTTCTGAGAGAACTAATAGGAGACGACAGGAAGCAGGGAGAAGAAACGAGAATTGAAGAAAGTACGTGCAAGGACGCTAGCTAGAAGGAGACTCTGTATGAAAGCATGGTGACCCTGTTTGTAAAAGATTCAGCAAATCTTCTTGGCCTGGCAGGGACCTAGAAACTTGAGCCCAGCAGGTAGAATAGCCTTCAGGAACTTAATCAGACTGGGTCTCCGACAAGTTCTCAGCTTCTGCCCCACCTCCCAGGTCTGGCCACACCCCACCTTCCCAGCTCCCCGCTTGCACCCATCAGCTGCAGTGGCCTTAGCTACTTGTAAATGTACCAAAAACGAGTGTTCCAAGCTAAGCTGCCATGTTCTTATAGAAACTTAGGTGAAGTAAGTGAATCGATTGCTGCCATTAACCTTTCCACATCATAATGGAATGTTTTTCTTCAAAACAGTATCGCGCTTACTATGGAGCATTTAAGGATATCAAGGAGAAGATCAGGACCTCTGAAGAAGCAGAAGACCTCCGAGCCTTGAGATTTCTATCTGTGATTTCAATTGTGGACCCTTGGATTTTTATCATTTTCAGAACTCCGGTATTTCGGATATTTTTTCACAAGATTTTCATAAGACCTCTTACGTACAGGAACTGGTGCAGCAGTTCCACTCACATGGAATCCAGTCTGTGACGGTGTTTTTCACTCTGTGGTGCGCTGAAGAATATGTCACATGTTCAGTCAAAGAACCATGATTTTAAAAAAAACCTTGGCCGGGCGCGGTGGCTCAAGCCTGTAATCCCAGCACTTTGGGAGGCCAAGACGGGCGGATCACGAGGTCAGGAGATCGAGACCATCCTGGCTAACACGGTGAAACCCCGTCTCTACTAAAAAATACAAAAAACTAGCTGGGCGAGGTGGCGGGCGCCTATAGTCCCAGCTACTGGGGAGGCTGAGGCAGGAGAATGGTGTGAACCCGGGGGGCGGAGCTTGCAGTGAGCTGAGATCCGGCCACTGCACTCCAGCCTGGGTGACAGAGCGAGACTCCATCTCAAAAAAAAAATAATAAAAAAAAAAAATAAAAAAATTAAAAAAAAATTACAATTTAAATCCTTAGAAGTTATCTTCCATAACAAAAGCATGTATATGTATTTTCAAAAGTATCTGATATCTTAACAATGTGTTACCATTCTATAGTCATGAACCCCTTCAGTGCATTTTCACTTTGTTGTTAACAGCAACTAAAATTTCATATATTGTCACCAATGTTAAAATTCTTAAAAAGCAATGGTATTGTCCCTACATTTGTACTTGGTGGCCCTGTTCTGTTTAGAAAGGCCTTGAGACATATGGGTCTTATAAAATATAGTAGAAACACCACCATTTATGATTATGTGATGGGCAGTCTTAAAAAGCATAATTTCTTACCCTATTCATTTTTTGGTGAAACCTGATTCATTGATTTTATATCATCATTGTCCCTGTTTAGTTCATTTCTTTGCCAATTGATCTAAGCACAGCCTGAATTATGATGTTCCTAAAGAAGTGAGGTGGGAAATATGACCAGGTCAGGCGGTTGGAGGGGCTTCCCCAGCCACCATCGGGGAGTACTTGCTGCCTCATGTGGAGACCTGAAGCTATAACTAGACACAGAGCAAGATATGACTATAGCCCACAACCCAAAGAAGCAAAAATTCATTTTTATCTTTTGAAGTCCAGTTTCTTTTGTATTGAGTCAAGGGTGTCAGTAGGAATCAAAATTTGGGGGTGGGTTGCAAAATGTTCTTTCAGTTTTTAAAACCTCCGTTTTATAAAAGATTTATCCTGTCAGTGGATTCTTCGGTGGAAGGATTTATGCTTCTTTGAAAACCAGTGTGTGACTTACTGTAGAGCCATGTTTACTGTTTGACTGTGTGGCACAGTGGGGCATCTGGCACAGCAAAAAGCCCACCCAGGACTTAGCCTCAGTTGACGATACTAACAATGGCCTTCACATCTACCTTAATGCTACCTATTACAGCCGTTTTCTGCTGTCTGTGGAGACAGTAAGATCTTAGGTTCCAAGATTTTACTTCAAATTACACCTTCAAAACTGGAGCAGAATATAGCTGAAAAGGAGCACAACTGAGCACTTTATCAGTCATTTAAACGTTTACAAGGGTCAGCAACATAATGACCGAAAGGGAAAAGTGGAGGAAACGCAGCTGCAACTGAAGCGGAGACTCTAAACCCAACTTGCAGGTTAGAGCTTTCACCTTTGGTAAAAGAACAGATCGGGAGGTTAGAGGGGTTTCAGCATCTCTGGAGTTCCTTTGGATTGGACACTCTCAGGACTCCGAGATGCAAAGCCCGCTGCTACATTTGCGTAGACTCAAGATCTCCAGCCAGAAGTCCCTTCCAAAGACAAGAGTACTCATGTTTACTTATTTCCAACTTAGCAGCAACCTCATTTGTTTCACTTATGTTTTTTCCCGTATCTCAGAGATAATATAAAGCTGGGTAATTTTTTATGTAATTTTTTGGTATAGCAAAACTGTGAAAAAGCCAAATTAGGAATACAAGAATTATGATTTGACAGTATAACATGATGAAAAAAATGCAGTTGTTTTTGAAATTTAACTTCTGTTTGTATCTTCAGTGTGTAAGTACATGTGTGTTTTATTGTCAGAGGAAGAATGTTTCTTGTATTCTTTTTTGGAGAGGTGTGTCATGATAATTGTCCAGTCAACTTGAAAAGGTCCCAGATGAATCAATAAATATAATTTTATAATATTTTGCAGAGGAAATTACTTTTCTTTAAATGAAAGAAAAAAGCTTGGTTTTCTTTTGAGCAAACTGTTGCCAGCAATATTTCATTGTCTAGCAGTTTCATAGTGTGAATTTTTATACACTGTCCAATTAACACTTACATTACTTTAAACAAGCTTTCATAGACTTACCTAAGGACTTAGTACTCCTTTTTGTTTTATACAAAATGTAGATATACCATCTGGATGAAGTCCATGTTGAGATAAAACCAACTCTTCCGTAATCTTTGGAGATTTATTCATTAATTCATTAAATAATTGACAGAGACCTTGTGCCAAGCAGCTGATTAGGTGCTGAAGAAAAGAATAAAAATAAGACTTAGTCATAGTTCTTGAGTTGCTCATTGTCCACTGCAGGAGAGAGGAGTGTAAACCGTTAGGATACAGCATAGAAATTCTCCAAGTATTGCGAGTATGCAATACTATTTATTACTATTAGAAATAGTAATAAATTTACTATTAGAAGAGGAGGCCCAAACTAGGGACCACGTGTAGAGTTGTCAGGAGAACTTCACAGGAAGGAGATGCATTGAAAGTCAAGTATTGAAAACAAGTAGGAATTTTGACACTGATTGAAAACTGAAAAGAACACAAAGAGAAAGTTTACGTAAGATAAAATATACACGGTTAATAAATGTAGACAAATATTCAGCCTAATCAAAGAAATACAAAAATCAAATCAAATTGTATAACAACAACAAACAACAACAACAACAAAAAACCTATGACTGTCAATAACAGAGGTTATTCAGAGAAGAACATTCATGTTCCCCTGGCGAGTTCGTAAATGTGTATACCCTTTCTTGATAGCAACCCGACAGTGTATCAAAAACCTAAAGTGTTCTTTGCTGTTGTTCCAGTCATTCCACTGTAGCATTCTCTTGCAGAAAAAATACACATGAAAATTATGTATTTCTCAATATCTTTCCCTTTCCCCTTTAGATATTGAAACCCTCAAAATTGTCCTGGACAAGCAGCAGTAGCAACACCTGAAACTTACTACAAATGCAAATTCTCCAGCTCCACGTCAGACCTGTTGAATCAGAATCTCTTGGGTGGGGCCAGCAATCTGGGCTTTAACGTGCCCTCCAGGTGATTCTCATGCATGCTAATATTTGAGAACCACTGCTCTACACAAAACAAAACAAAACAAAAAAGAAAAATACCAAAAAAAGATAAGAAAGTATGTGATAGACTGTATGTTTCTCTGACCTCTGATTCTCAGATCCTTTCAGTTGCAGATAATCTCTCAACACCTGAACTTCTACAGTGTTTTTATCTATAATGTTCTCAGCAAAGTTACAGCTTTTAAATATCTTTCAATATTGGAAGCCATTACTGATTATTTCCCAAGTTCAAAGTTCTTATAGCAGTGATGGGACCTGTCTTGCTCACTTGGAGGTAAAGATGCTACCTTCGGCAATGATATTTCTTTGGCCTCCTGCAGACACGTAATTGGGCACTAAGTCCCTTGTGAAAGAAGATAAACTAAAGAGCCTTCGTGTATGATGTCAAAGATTATATCTAAAGTGAGCTTTCATTAGGGATTGAGTATTTTCTAGCTCTCTATAGAATAAAAATTTCCATTGAAATATGTAAAGCTATTTTTAAAATTTCATAATTTGACTTTCTTGTATATTTTCAGGAAAATATTATACATTTAATCTTTCTTTCCAGGCATTAAAATCCTTGAGGACTAGACAGTCACCTATTTTTTTCTCATTTCTCCTAGTAATTCACACATATACTGTAGAAGAGCTATAAATATACTATAAATATATTGAATAAAAGGTGTTCTCTCTCATGATAGTCCTAAAATGTACGTCTATTCAATAAGAGGCTGCTGTACGGCTTGGTTAAAGATTCCTCTGTATCTGATGAAGAATGTTCTCATATTACCATGTAAGGATTTTTCTCTTAGGCCAACCAAAGGTGAAAATAGTACACGTAGGAGAAAATATTTTTGCTCTATATTATTTCCCACTGTTATAGACATTATGTAAGTTAACATGTATGTTTCAATTTTTATCCAGGAAATAGCAACTCATACATGATGAAATTAACAACATAAAAAGTTTGTTAATTAGGCAATCTTAACGTTGTAAAAACAACTTTGTCTTATTAGAACAGTGTTGAGTGGCCTACTCTTTAATTATTTTCTTCAGTGAGGCTAGGATTGCTGGTCTGGGTGTTCCTAGACTCTAGGTGGAGGAAAGCTGAGCGCGTAGGATGGGTGGTACTATAATTAGGCTTCCTCTCCCTACCGTTTCACAATAGCCAAATTCAGTGGAATGAATTAGCAGATCTCACCTGATATCAGTGAGATGAACATTCTAGTCTTCCAGATATTTTTATACAAATTGCATGAACTCAGGAGTAAGTTCAATTTAAAAATATTTGCAATGAAGGTGTTTAGAACCTATCATGCTCTGGTTACAAATACAGGGAGAAGATACAAGCTTTTTTTCCCCCCAACTAAAATGCCTCAACCAGAGAAGACAATAAAAATACAGTCAAGTCAAAGCTCAAATGAAAGTATATTTTAGGCGAAGTATAGGGTCCTATGATGATCTTAAACCCAGTAAGCACTTGGAGTCTAATTGGAAACACAAGACAAACTAGAAGTTAAAAATCATGCAATGTAGTGCAAATGTTACAAAGTACTAAAGTATGAGTTATAGATTTCAAAACAATAAAGCCCCAAATTGGTGATAATCGATGTTTAAGATTAGTCTAGCAATGCACTGTATAAACACCTGGGCAAACAAAGTTGGTAGCTTGCCAACATCAGTTTCTTATCACTACAAAATAGAATATGGAAACAATAACTGTCATGACACACAATTCATAATGAATTTAGAAAATACTGTTCATTCCCCCCAAATTTAAAAACACCCAGAGTTCCCAATTAGATGAAAAAGATAAATTACAGTGATTTACTGATTATGATTGTGTGAAAGTAAAAAAAATCTTGGGACCCCAAACTCACTAAGCCAAATGGAAACGTCAAGTTAGAAACTGGGTCATGCCAACCTGCATCTCATTTTGGTTCCTAAATAAGATGGCTAAAATACAAAAAGCTACATACCTCCATCACATTTCGCCCACAGGGAAATTCCTTGGAGGCCCCAAGACTTTTACCCTAAAGTGTTTCTGTTAAGATGCATCATGGCAATGTGAATCGATAGCTTTTCTCCACAGGTGTGGGGACACAGGCGCGAACTCAAAGTCATCCCTCTGCCCACCTGAGACAAATGCATATCTGATTGTTTCCTCTGCTCTATCGTCTACATTATCTATATTATGTAAAAATGCAGATTCACTGAGCCAGACAAAGGCATGAATGACTGTTTTCCCCTACCCTCTTCTCACATGAAAATTATGTATTTCTCAATATCCTTCCCTTTCCCCTTTAGATATTGAAACCCTCAAAATCATCTTTGGGGAAAGGAATAGACCTATCTCCCAGGTGTGTATCCTTAACTTTGGCAAATAAACCTCAAAAAATCATGGAGATTTGCCTGGGTCATTTTCCTTAATTGACCACGGAGGGATCCTGAGTGAAGGTGGCCCCAGCCTGCAGCAGCTCTCCTATTGGTACCAGTTTGGGCTCTTTATAGCCCAAACCAATAGGACAATTTGTCGAGGTCTGGGACCTCCTCCCTCAGGAAGTTGGGGCTCTGAGTTTAATTTGATGTTTAAAAAAAAAAACTTTTTTTTTTTTTGTGGGAGTTTTTACTTGCTTCCGTCAAGGAAGGCAAGCTTGTCTGCTTCTTATCAGTGGAGAACAGTCTTCAGCTTGAGCCTCATCACTAGGTAAGGAGCTGAGTTGGGATTCTGTCTTGCAAATTCTCGTTAATAACTAAAGTTACTGTTAACAACCAGCTGGTCTTGATTTCTCCTTACATTTAGAGCACTCAGAAATTGTATAATTTGTGATTGCTGTTCGTTTTGCTTAGATGTCTTGTTTATTTGTTTCTGTCTTGTTAGGTATTTTTGTATGTTTCAGTCCTTCTCTTATTGGATTTGGCCAACTCTAAACCCTCTAGCTTATGAGTATGGAATTTTCCTCCCCAAAGAAATAACAGCACACCACTCTCAGATGTGCAATGGCTCTGAGTAGGATTTCCCATCAGAAGAACATACTTAGGGTCTAATCTCAGCTAGCAGGTGCAAACAAGGAGCTCATCTCCCACACCTTGAGCCCCTGACACACAGTGCCAGGTAGCCACCATACCAGTTCAGGGAGTAACGGCCCTGAAAAGCTAGGTCCCCAAGCAGCACACTTTGGATCCAACAAACCCTCTGACTTGGTCAAATCTGAAAGAAAATTCTAAATTATGTGGAAGGAGCCCTTTAAGTTGGCTAAAAGCCCCACAGCTGTGGAACACAAAGTTCCACCCTTAGAAACTCCAGCCAGGTATATGCAAAAACACTTAGAGTGAATTGTCATGCAAATATTTAATCAAGTGGACCACTATAACCAAGGCAGATTCTAACTTACAGCGGCCTTGATGGGGATCTTCTGAGATGCCCAACTTAGTGTACCTGTGAACTAGGATGCAAAACGCAGGCACAAAAACTAAACAACCAGAATGGGAGAGCTACTTTCAGTGGTACCTTGAGAGGAGCAAATAGGGGGAAGATCGCCTCATGTCCTTACAAGAAGCCAACAAACAACTTAGAGTCCTAACCAAGGACTCTCTAAAGTTCTGTCTCTCTTAAAGAAATCCTCAGAATCCCTTACTTCCCCGTGGCACCTCCCCATCTCTAATTACACCCCCACTTTATCCCTGACCTCTCTGAACTTCTCGGACCAGATCTGTTCCCTCCTTCTCCTGCATGTTTCAATCTAACATCTTCCCCTCCTTATATGCCACTCACTCAACAGAAGGCAGTAGGGAGTCTAACTTTCAAGACCCTACCTCCTGACAATTCCCTGACAGTGCCAGCAGCAGCCTCTCATTTGGAAGATGTGGAAAAGTGGGACCCCGCAGGGCCATCTCTCATGATCACCCTGTTTTGGGAACAACCGGCAACACGTAGGGGAACCCCGGTGATTGTCTACCAACCCTGGTCAAAGGTTGAGTTGCAGGGCATAAAGAATTTCTGGGTCTGCATAAGATCCAATTGGGTTTGCCCAAGAATTTGAATTCATTATCAGAACCTATGACGCAGGCCATTCAGACCTCTAACAGCTGGTACACATGTTGGTCTCGGAAGCTAAAGCTAAGGAATGACTGGAGAAAGTACAGTGGTCAGACCCTGTAGCAGACTTAACCCCTGAAGGCCCAATAGAGCTACAATAACCAGCCCCCAGAAATCGAGAGCACAGGCACAAAGATGCGTGGGAATGAGCAACTGCTCTGTTAAATATCATTTCTTCAACATTCCAAAGGGTTGTGGATTGGAATAAAATCCAGCAATGCCACCAGAACCCAAATGAATCAATTTTAGATTATTTTATACATTTTGACTGAGATAATATGCTCCAAATAATTAACTTACACTCTCTTGCCTGGTTCTTCTGATGAAAACCCTCATGACTATGTTCTGATGACTGACCAACTTCTCGCTCCCAGGACAGCCCTACAAGAGATGCCACTGGATAATGCTGAGATAGAATGGTATACAGATGGGTCTTATTTAAGAGGGGAGGATGGAAATTTTAGAGCAGGATATGCTGTGGTTTCTTTACTAGAGGTAATTGAAGTGGTCCTCTTCCTCAAGCCAAATCAGCTTAAGGGGCCAAATTGATTGCCCTGACTTAAGCTTGTCAATTAGCAAAAGACAAGACTGTGAACATACGCTGACAGCTGCTAAGCAGTTGGAGTTGCTCATGACTTTGGAATGTGAAAGGAGAGAGGATATTTAACCTCCTCAGGGCAACAACACATAAAAAATGGACAACCAAATATCAGAGCTGTTAGAAACTATTCTCAACCAAAACTTTTGACAATTGTGAAAATCCCAGGTCACTCTACATTGGACACCACTAAAAGTGGAGTTAATTAATTTGCTATTGCTACAGCTAAAAAAGCAGCATTGAAGCCACCAGCCCCAATCCAAAAAATGATCATAAAGCCTGAAACACTTAAAAACATATCGAAGGAAACCTAGAGTGTAGCCCCAACAAAAGAGAAATCCACATGGAAACAGACAGGGAGACACCTGTCTCCTGAAACTAAAATATTGTATGGACTTAATAATAAACCATTACTCCAATGGGATGTCAGGTACCCCTTAAGGAATGTGTTAATAACTTGATACATTGGAATCCAGATAAAAGTATATCCTAGTGTAAACAATGTTACTGGAAACCATCCTCCACAGTGGCACAAAAAGATTTATTCCCAGTGTGTTATTTGTCCTAAGTATAATCCAGGGAAGCTCCTCCATGAGGCCCAAGGTCATTTTCCCCTTCCAGCTGGACCTTTTGAGATACAGTAGCTTGATTTTATCCAGCTGCCATCCTCTCAAGGTTACATGTCTTAGAATGGTCTGCATGTTCAAAATGAAAATGTAGATAATGAAGGATACCTGAAGTCACTGTAGGTCTATTCCTGCTGATTCTGACTGATGTTACCTTATTTTCTGGTGAGCTTGAGTATTATGAGAACACATATTCTGGAGATTCTCTGATGCCTAAAATGATGGTGCCTTCCTCCAGAGGGGATTTGCACTCTCCAGGCACCTAGGGTCGGTCCAGGACTTCTTTAACCCAGTTTGGGGCATAGGGTTTTTTGGACCATCCAGTTGAGGTGAATTGGAGTTACAAACTCACACAGACTTCCAGCACGTGCTTGTCACTTCACAGAGATCAGGTTTTTCTTTACTTTCCCTCCTCTGCACTGTTCAACACAAAAGAATTTTTTTTTCCCTTAAGATCTCCTGGGGGAGTGTTGGAGGGTTAGAGGGTAAAAGTGGGTTTAGGTTTACTTCTAGTTCATTCCTGACCTAAGGAAGGGTGGAGGAAGGTTTCCTATTAGACTCCCCACCTTTGCCGGAACATAAACTTTAATTTCTGAACTTATGGACCCTGAAAGAATAAAAACAATAAAATCCAGCTTTCCTTCATTGACATATGTCCTCAGAGGCAAAAGCAACTTCTGTGTTCTGAGACAGGGTCTGGCTCTGTCTGCCAGACTGGAATGCAGTGGCACGATCTTGGCCTACTGTGACCTCCGCCTCCTGGGCTCAAGCTATCCTCCTCCATCAGCCTGCTGAGTAGCTGGGACCACAGGCTGTGCCACCACACCCAGGTAATTTTTTGTAGATATGGGGTTTCACCAGTTGCTCAGGCTGGTCTCGAACTCCTGAGCCCAAGTGATCTGCCTGCCTCAGCCTCCCAAAGTGCTGGGATTACAGGCATGAACCACCACCCAGCTGCAACTTCTGCATCCTGCTTTTCCCTCTAGATTCTCGTTGCCATTTGGATTTTGTCATGATAAATCCTATCTTATCACCTTTCTCATGCTTTTCAGACTTTTCAAATTTTTGCAGCATTTTTCCAACTGGTGGATTAGTCGGAATAGTTTACTGACTACATTACCCAAAACATAACTTCTTTAAGTTTGCAGACTGTCAAATAATTATGGAAATGGGCAGGGAATCTCTTAAATGAAATGACTAAAAGTATTTAGTAAAAAGTTGAAGCAAGATCAGTTCATATAAAACTGTACAAGATACAGTCAATCCTATAATTTAGAGGTAAATCATAGCAATAAGTACTTTTCTTGTTCTTGTTTTTGTTTGCTTCTTTGGAAACAGGGTCTCTCTCTGTCACCCAGGCTGGAGTGCAGTGGCACGATCATAGCTCACTACAGCCTCAAATTTCTGGCCTCTCATGATCCTCCTACCTCAGTCTCCTGAGTAGCTGGGACTACAGGCACATGCCACCATGCCCAGCTAAGTTTTTGTATTTCTTATAAAGACAGGGTTTCACCATGTTGCCCAGGCTGGTCTCAGACTCCTGGGCTCAAGCAGTTCACCAGCCTAGTTCTCCCAAAGTTGTGGGATTACAGGCACGAACCACTGTGCCTGGCTCGGACAAGCAATTTTCAAGGTCAGCTTCCCAGAGCCTCGCAAGAGTAGGGCACATGAAATGGGATGGCAGGGCATCACATCAGGAGGGGTCCAACCTTTCCCCATCTGGTCACCCACAGCAGCTCCATCTATACTGATACCTAGACTTGGCCAAAAATACCACACAGAACAGATAAGCATTACAAATTGCGTCAAGGGTCCCCAAGACCACCCCTGGTTTCAAGGCTTCTCTAGACGGACTTGCAGGACTCAGCATACAGTTGCACTCATGGCTACGGTTGATTACAGGGAAAGGATACCAAGCCAAAAAACCAAAGGGAAGAATCACATGGAATGAAGTCAGGAGGAAGCCAGATGCAGACTTCCTAGAGGCTTCTCCCATCAGAGGCACAGGGATGTGCTTCCTTCTTCAGCAACAAGGTGACAATATGGGTGAAGTGTTACCTATCAGGGATGCTCACTAGAGACTCAGTGCCCGAGGTTTTTTGGGGAGTTGGTGGTATAGGCAGCCTATGCCTGGCACATACCACAATTTCAAATTCCTAGACAAATAGCAGCTGTTCAGCATACACTATGTTATGTGCACAAAGCAATCCCAACACAGCAAACCACCCTTATCATGTAAGAAATGGTGGGAACCCTCCCAAAATCCAGGTTACCAGATGCCAACCATGGGCAACCTTGCAAGCAGGCCTTTCTAAAAATAGCAGTCTCAGGTCTGCTGTGGTGTCTCTTTACTATACACACAAGAAGAAATATATCATTTAAAACTGATCTTGTGTAACTATAAAACATAAAGGAATTATCTGATAAACTATTAAAATATATAAAAGCTTATAAATATGACAATATAGAGTCAATAATATGTTTATATACTAGCAGTAACATATACAAACCAACAAACAGAAGGTCCTATATGCAATAGCAACTAAAACATATGTAATGCCTGGAAATAATCTTAACAAGACATGTAGTGACAACATGAAGTAAAAACACAATTATATGAAGAAATATAAAACAAAACTTGAAAAAGTAACCAGATGATTATTCCTGATTAGGAAGACTGGATATAAAAATGATGTTCAAAATTAATTTCTAGGTCTAATGGAACCACAATGAAAATCTCTGCTGCTTTGAGTTCTTTCTTTAAAAGAAAAACATAGGTTTTGTGGGGGGGTTGCCTACTTTGACAAAATGATCTCAAAGTTCACTCAGAGAATAAAAAAGGAAGAAAATTCAGAAAAAAAATAGTTGTTAGAAGGTGAGTCTCATTCTGTTTTAATCATCTTACAATGATATAATTAAAACAATGTGGTAATTGTACAAAGAATAGCCTAGATCAATGAAAAAGTTAAGTCCAAATATGGTCTTAGTATATGAATAACAAAGAATGCCTCACAAATCGATGAGGAAGACAAAAGTGAGTCAGTATGATTTAGGAATAACTGTTTGACAATTTGGAGCACATTCATCTAAACCCTAATTTTTTTTTAAAGAAAGCCAATCATGTCTGATCTTTTTATTACTGCAAATAGCCATTATGAAATATAATTAAAACCAAGTGTGTTTGGCTTTGGAAAGGTTATAGTTACATTAGTATTTGCTACTTCTATATGTCAAAAAAAGTAGGTAAAATAAAAGGGCAGACAGGCCTGGGAAAAATATTGCAAAGTGTTAATGTATTTTATATTAATAAAATATACATTCACATATTGCTTAATGACGATATACATTCTGAGACATGTGTAATTAAGCAGTTTGTCGTGAGAACATCATACCCCGTATTTACACAAACCTAGATGGTACAGCCTACTGCACACCTAGGCTATATGGTATGGCTTATTGCTCCCAGACTGCCAACCAGTACAGCATGTTACTATATTGAAAACTGTAGGCAATTGTAACACAGTGGTAAGCATTTGTGTATTTAACATATCTAAACATAGAAAAGGTACAGTAAAAATATAGTATTAAAGGAAAAAATGGTGTACCTGTGTGCGACACTTACCATGAATGGACCTTGTAGGACTGGAATTTGCTCTGGATGAGACAGTGAGTGGGTGGTGAGTGAAGGTGAAGGCCTAGGACATTACTATACACTACTGTAGACTTTATAAACACTGTACACTTACATTAAATTTATTTTTATTTAAAAATAGGGTTTTTTTCTTTGATAATAAATTAACTTTGGCTTACTGTATGGCCACCACCATATATGCAGTCCATTGCTGACAGAAATGGCTTTATGCAGGACATGGCTGTATTGTATCTTTATATGGAGCAGAGGTGATAGTAGAAAGTATTTTGTCCAGGCCATGTGGCCTTGGATAAGTCCTTTAGCTTCTCTAAACCTCAATTTCCTTCCTTCTTGCAGGTTGTGGCAAGGCATAAATATACATAAAGCTCTTGGCATATATTCTACTTATTATGGTTGACTGACAAATGATAGCTAATTAGTAGTGGTGGCAGTGGTAATATACTTGTAGTGATAGTAAGAGCTCACATAACTAAGAAAGCATTGTCCCCAAAGATAAATGCATTAAAAACATGAACAGAGAATTCTCAAAGGAGGAAATAAAACTCATAAACTTGGAAAAATGTTTGACCTCACCCACAAAGTTCAAATTAAAAGCATGAAATGGCATTTTTTGGCCCACTAAATTATCAAAACATTTTTTAAAAAGCAGTACCCAGTGCTGGGAGGGTGTGTTGAAATCTATATTTTCATACATTTCTGGCGATTTATAAATTAGCACAACTCTGTTAGGAAGTAATGTGGAAATATGTGCTGTCATTTCCCCAAAAGATCATATTCTCTGATTTAGTAATTTCAAGGCTGAGATTTACTCCTAGGAACAGACCCCAAACATAAAAGTGCTACATGCATACAAATGTTAAGTGTAGCTGTTCCTGAATAATTAAAAACAATCTAGCTGTCCAGCAGTAGGAGAAATTACTACAAATTACTCAGTAGATATGATAAATAGAATGTTACTCAGAAAATACAAGAAGTAAGGCCGGGTGCGGTGGTTCACACCTGTAATCCTAGCACTTTGGAAGGCCGAGGTGGGCAGATTGCTTGAGCTCAGGAGTTCAAGACCAGGCTGAGCAAAATGGTGAGACCCCATCTCTACTAAAATACAAAAAATTAGCAGTGCATGGCTAATTTTTTTATGTCCGGGTGCCTGTAATCCCAGCTACTTGGGAGGCTGAGGTGGGAGAATCGCTTGAACCCAGGAGGCAGAGGTTGCAGTGAGCCGAGATCATGTCACTGCACTCCAGCCTGGGTGACAGAGTGAGACTCTGTCTCAAAAACAAACAAACAAACAAGAAGTAGTCCAGGCGCAGTGGCTTATGCCTATAATCCCAGCACTTAGGGAGGCCGAGGTGGGCAGATTGTTTGAGGCCAGGAGTCAAGACCAGCCTGGGTAACATTAGCAAAACCCCGTCACTACCAAAAATACAAAAAATTAACCAGGCATGGTGGCAAGCACCTGTGGTCTCAGCTACTCAGGAGGCTGAGGTGGGAGGATCGGTTGAGCCCAGGAGGCAAAGGTTGCAGTGAGCCAAGATTGAACCACTGTACTCCAGCCTGGGTGACAGAATGAGACCCTGTCTCGAAAAACACTTAAAAATTTAAAAAGAAAATGCAATGTGAGAAAATAAAACAGGAAGCAGGATTTTATGTGTATTGTGTAGCAGACAAAAGTGGAAAGACATATTTCAATTTAGAAACTAATATTAAAATGTATGCTTATAGAGAATTACTACTTTTATAATTTATAAATTATGGTTAATTAAAATTAGATTTTGATAATTATTTCCACATGATCTCTTTCTTCTTTAAATGACACCAAAATTTAACCTCAAAATCTTGGCACTGACAGCCCTGAGGTTTTTTATATTGCTCCTCTAGAGGGAGCACAAGTGCTTGAAATACTTCACAACCATAACGATCTGTTTCACAATAGTCAAGAATTTTAGAAGGGCAAGAAAACACAGTAATCTACTGCAGTTTATCAGTAGTGTAGTCTGGTGCAGATAATCTAGTCTTAGATACAGAAGACGACCTCTAGCTATAAATAATTTATTTTCTATTATTAGCGCTGCTTTTAAGTGACATCAATTTTCTTGC